CAACCCCACTGAACACCTTTGGGATGAACTGGAATGTCCAACATCAGTGTCTGACCTCACAAATGCTCTTTAGACTGAATGGACAGAAATTCCCACAGACTCTCTCCAACATCTTCTAGGAAGCTTCCCAGAAGAGTGGAAGCTGTTAGAGCTGCAGAGGGGACCAACTCCATATTAATGCCCATGGTTTTGGAATGTGACGGCAAACAAGCTCATATAAGTGTGATGGTTAGGTGTCCACATACTTTTGGCCATATAGTGTAGATAAACAGACAGATGGAAATATGGTAAAATAAGTATAGTGTTTATGATCTCTCTCATCACACACACTATTCTGTATGCCAGTTATGTTCTCTCCTGGCCACAGACGGCACATGGCACAGCTGGGAATCAAATCTCAGTCCCAGCTGCTGTGTTCAGCTCTGTGCTGACGGTTCACTCAGCACACTCAGATTAACATACATGTGTTTATATGGTGTTATATAGTGCAGGTGGGTGAATGAGGGACTCAGTGTAGAGCCGATACCTGTAAACTGTATTATTGTGTTTCTGCCTTTTCTCTGTGAGTTAACTCAGAGATCCCCTGTGTTCTGCTTCTGCTCTTATGGGACGCTCCGTTAGGAGCCCTTCACTTAGAAACGCACTCTCATCACCCCGGAGTGGCACACGTACGCTTATACCTACAGAGAGAGGGAGTTAGAGATGAGGCATCGTTAATATTTCACTCCTTAAGTCATAATTCACGTTTACACATCCATTTTCCAGCCTCTCTTTATCCCTCACAATTAAACAGGCTATTTTGTTACTGCACCTTTAAGACAGATAACTGAGCTCTGTTCTGATTGGCTGCACATTCAAAAGTCCATCCAGGCTGAAACACTCCTTATAGGGTCATTCTACAGAAACGTCCACTGTTCTGTCTCTCCATAGGAGTCACTGGTGTTACTGATCCTCATTGGTGTTCCACATAATAAAGGAACACCAGAGACATTTTTAATGAACAATGCATTTTACTAAATGGCTGCTACAGAACATCAAACCACATGACGTCAATCATGGAATATCCACTAAAATATGGAATTTAATCCATTTGTATTCTAGTTTTCATAATTACCTCAGAATAAAGTCGGTCACACCAGTGACTTCAGCTAAAAGCTTCATATGAAATCAGGAGCTAAATGAGAAAATCTCTGATAACTGAAAGACACAGTGGACTCACCATGAGCTTTTCTTCATAGACCCTCAGAAAACAGGTAAAAGGAAGTCGAGTGATGTCATCAGTGTGACTTTTATTTCAAAATAAGAGATTTTTTATTATGAAGTAACACCAGTGACACGACTCCTGGGGACAACTTTCATTATATATTTTATAATATTTATTTGGCATTTGTTTTCTCTCTGTTATTTAAATCATATATTTCATAGTCATGTATAGATTATTGTAGTTAAAATAGCAGAAAAACAGTTTTTTACCTCAAAATATGGCCTCAGCCTTCACACACGACTGTGAGGACGAGCTCTTCTGTGGTGTTTGGAATTCTGTATGATTGATTTAAAAGCCAATATTGCTAAATTGAGGCTCAAGAAGTGTAACTGTTAAAATAACTTATGGCTTTAGTTTAAAATATAAATAAATTGTAACCTTAACATGTTTTTTAATTGTAATATATCTGTAAACGCCAGGGACACAGAAATGGACGTTTCTGTAGAATTACATCACAAAAACAACTGAAAACAGGCTGTTTGTGCAGTTTATTTTCCATATACAGACTGTGTGCAGTGGGGAATGAACGTTTCAGACCTTTAGCAATGTTTACATACTACATTAAACATTTATTCAAAAATAAAGGCCTTAAGGGCCTTTTAATAAACAGGAAATATGTTTGCATATACAGACATATGATATAGATTATATTTAATAATATATAGATTCCAAATGTATGACATATTTTAGCATATATGTGTTTTCTGTATATATTTCCAACTTGTATTTCTCACATGTGGACAAATATGTGGCGTATATACAAGCTTATTAGAAATTTTCAAACATGGGACACACATTTCAGCCACATATCAACATATACAAACATATATGTGTTATAGATATATTTATTAATACATGATAGTAATCATTCATATATAAATGCTGGAGTTTTTAAACACTGTGTCCACTCACTGTCCACTCTATTAGACACTCCTACCTTGTCAGTCCACCTTGTAGATGTAAAGTCAGAGACGATAGCTCATCTGCTGCTGCACAGTTTGTGTTGGTCATCCTCTAGTCCTTCATCAGTGGTCACAGGACGCTGCCCACAGGACGCTGTTGGCTGGATGTTTTTGGTTGGTGGACTATTCTCAGTCCAGCAGCGACACTGAGGTGTTTAAAAACTCCAGCAGCACTGCTGTGTCTGATCCACTCAGACCAGCGCAACACACACTAACACACCACCACCACGTCAGTGTTACTGCAGTGCTGAGAATGATCCACCACCCAAATAGTACCTGCTCTGTGAGGGTCCATGGGGGTCCTGACCACTGAAGAACAGGGTCAAAGGGGGCTAACAAAGTATCAGAGAAACAGATGGACTACAGTCTGTAACTGTAGAACTACAAAGTGCACCTATATAGTAAGTGGAGCTGATAAAATGGACAATGAGTGTAGAAACAAGGAGGTGGTCAGAATGTTATGCCTGATCGGTGTACAGGGCATCAAACAGTGCCACACCATGCTTATGATTTTTACAAAAAAATGTCACATATGTTTTTCATTTTCCGTTATAATAAGGCATGTAGGAGTTGCATTAGCAGTAAGTGTGTTTTAGCTTCAAATAACATTAGAATAAATGCAAAAAAACAAAAAAAAAAAACCACAAGTACAATAAAAAGTATAAAATAAAATAAAAACACAAATTTAATGTTAAAAAGTAGCACATCTTGTGAGCTGGACTCCAGCCGTCACATGGATCTGTTCAGTTCCATCAGCAGAACCTGTTTTCATTTAGGAAAGTATTGATTAGATAAAGCAGGTATTGATTGTTGATAGCAACAAATAATATCAGTTTCCACGAGGAGAGGGCAGGAAATGGTTAAGAAAACTCCATAAAATCAGTATTTATTAATGTTATTTGTATTTATTCCAATAAGTGTTTTTTTATCTGAGATAAACAGCTTTTAAAGGATAATTTACTCAGGTAACTAAAAATTTGCAGCAATGTACCATTTTTGTTGTGCGTTTATATTGTGATAAAATGTATTATTTCTATTCATTTTGTTACATTTATTGTGTTATATTTTGATTTTATTTGAATTAATGTATGTCAAAGTGTGCTATATAAATAGAATTATTATTAACATTTTTTTTTTTTAATTTATTTATTTTTTTATTTTTTTACAGCACAGAACGACCTGCTCTAGATCTTGAGAGCCCTATTGCCCTCACCTTACATGAAGGGTGAAGTGACAGTGCCTTTAATCTCTCCCTCTCTCTCTCTCTCTCTCTCACTCTCTCTCAGGGTAAAAGTGGATCTCTTCATTTACGGGAGCTGAATTTGGAGATTTAAAGCGCTAAGAAAAGGCTGGATTAGCGCGTGTGGCGCCGGCGTTTGGTAATCTGCACATGCTCAGAGTAACGGAGTGAGAGCAGACAGACTCAGCGCTGGTGCAGGTGGATGGATGGATGTATGGATGATGCAGGAGTGCGAGGTGAAAGACTGTAGAACGCTTGTTCTCTGGGTGCTGAAGCAGGAGGAGATGATAAAGAGCTGAAGCCCAAACAACAGGAGCTCCATCCTCCTCCTCCTCCTGGCGGCTCTGAGGGGTATTTTTAGCGCCGAGGTGGAGGAAATTAATTCTTTTTGGGCTTTTTGTGCACCTGCCTGCTCAGCCGGGTTCTCCTCCTTTGTGTTGGAGATATTCCCGACTCTGTGCTGAGATGGTGGAGGGACGCTCTGCAGCTGCTCTGACGCACCTCAGCATGTAAAGGTGAGGATGATTTATTATAACAACACTGAGACAGTCATTCCGAGTGGTTTGGTGTGAAATGGTTCAGATGTCTTTACAGTGGTGGTGATAGGAACCGGGGGTCGCCATGACTACAACACAGATATAGACATTTTATTTACCATCCAGAACCACCAGTGAACCTACACGGGTCTTCTGAGCTTATATGGAATGTTGATGATGGAAAATAGTGGAGAATCTGAAATAATAAGTTTTCTTTGGGGACTATTTTGCCTCACAGTGCCCTGCATGTATCCCTCCACCATGAATGGAGTTTAAGTTCTCTAAACTATCATAAAACAGTGTCTCAGTCATCAGGCAGTGAATTCATAACCATTTCATGTAGGAACTTTCTGTGAGGGAGCTTTTAGAGGTGGACGTCTGGTTCCTATCACCACCACTGTGAACAGTTCTGACTCGGTAAGTTTATCTAGAACAGAGCGTTTCACACCAAACCGCTCTGAACCGCTCTGATTACATTAAATCTGAACCATTAAGTCATGCAGATATTATGAAAAATCTGTGGGATTCCCTGTTGTGTAATTTCTATTAACTTAATTGTGTTTTTAACACTGTATAACATACTGTTATGAATAAACAAGGACTAAAGTATAGACACGATTCATATTTCATGCAGTTGCTGATTTTAGCCATACTAATGTGCTTTGTTGTGTGTTTATAGATGACAGTGTATCATACAGTGTCAAAAACCACATAATCAAGCCTAATTTACTCATAATAAGAGTAAAAACTGTGAATTAAATTTTGGTTCAAATGACCAAAAGTTGAAATAAGCTGCTCAATTTGATCCTTTAGTTTCCCTCAACATTTTTATCCTCTTATTTTAATTTTACGACAGTTTATTTCTTTTACTCAATGTTTTTCTGTCCTTCTTATTTTCTGCTCTAATCTTTCCCCACAGTGTGCTTTCTGCCTCCAGGTGGTGCTTTATTTCCCACACTCCTGCCATGCCGTAAGCCCCCTGGTGGCCGTTCGGCAGCATGACGGCCGTGTACCCGGCCGCTGGAGGTGCTGGTGGGGGTCCAGCTGGAGCTCAGCGCTATGGTCGCTGGACCCGGCAGGACAGCTCAGACATTTGCACAGATGACGAGGGTCCGCCGCCCCGCAGGCTAACACCGCTCGAGAAACTCAACCTGGACATGTGCCAAGACGACAAGGTGGTCCGGGAGCTGACGGTGGGCCGGCGGATCGGATTTTACAAAGTCCGTGGAGAGATCGGCTGCGGGAACTTCTCCCACGTCAAACTGGGCATCCACGCACTGACCAAAGGTACGAGAATCCGTCACCGGTGACGTCATGGACACGAAATTACCACGACCTTATATCACAATACCAACATTTAGAGTCAGTTATTCATTCAGCCTAATGAGAAACTGTAGAACAGACTCAGTTTATATCACAATACCAACATTTAGAGTCGGTTATTCATTCAGCCTAATGAGAAACTGGAGAACAGACTGAGTTTATATCACAATACCTACATTTAGAGTCGGTTATTCATTCAGCCTAATGAGAAACTGTAGAACAGACTCAGTTTATATCACAATACCTACATTTAGAGTCGGTTATTCATTCAGCCTAATGAGAAACTGTAGAACAGACTCAGTTTATATCACAATACCTACATTTAGAGTCGGTTATTCATTCAGCCTAATGAGAAACTGTAGAACAGACTCAGTTTATATCACAATACCTACATTTAGAGTCGGTTATTCATTCAGCCTAATGAGAAACTGTAGAACAGACTCAGTTTATATCACAATACCTACATTTAGAGTCGGTTATTCATTCAGCCTAATGAGAAACTGTAGAACAGACTCAGTTTATATCACAATACCTACATTTAGAGTCGGTTATTCATTCAGCCTAATGAGAAACTGTAGAACAGACTCAGTTTATATCACAATACCTACATTTAGAGTCGGTTATTCATTCAGCCTAATGAGAAACTGTAGAACAGACTCAGTTTATATCACAATACCTACATTTAGAGTCGGTTATTCATTCAGCCTAATGAGAAACTGTAGAACAGACTCAGTTTATATCACAATACCTACATTTAGAGTCGGTTATTCATTCAGCCTAATGAGAAACTGTAGAACAGACTCAGTTTATATCACAATACCTACATTTAGAGTCGGTTATTCATTCAGCCTAATGAGAAACTGTAGAACAGACTCAGTTTATATCACAATACCTACATTTAGAGTCGGTTATTCATTCAGCCTAATGAGAAACTGTAGAACAGACTCAGTTTATATCACAATACCTACATTTAGAGTCGGTTATTCATTCAGCCTAATGAGAAACTGTAGAACAGACTCAGTTTATATCACAATACCTACATTTAGAGTCGGTTATTGATTCAGCCTAATGAGAAACTGTAGAACAGACTCAGTTCCAGGTGGATGGATGTAAATAAAATAAAGTTCTGTTTTTTGTGCTAATATTTGTTGTTCTATATTGTGTTCAGTATTTGAGCCTCTTTTTACTGAATATATTTATTTTAATGAATACATTTTGAAGTGTTTAAGGTTGGAAAGGTCGTCTGATTCAAACAACATAGAACTACTGGGTTAAATTATGTTTTGCATCAATTTACCAGCTTTTTGTAGTGACTGTGACAACTCGCCCCTCAGTCTGGTACAGTTGACCCCGTCTATGGGTAAGTTGTCACATGTGCACTCCGGCACAGTGAGGCTGTCTGACCGGGAAACAGAAGGATCAATGAAAGGTGTCACCTTTCTGAAAATTGCTGCAGAGGTCATTAGAGGTCACCCACCACACTCTCAGTCCAAAGTCTGGCTTCTTGAGAAAGTAATGTTTATTTTTTTTTTGCAGTGGTTTAGTTTATCTTAGGGCAGCTCTGTGTTAATGAAGGCTGGACGATACACCAACAATATAACATCCCGATACTTTAAGAACTTTTCATATACACGATGTGTCACGATATTTCTTTTTGGGACATCTGATAAGTTGGAACAGGCAAAGCGCTGCAAAAAATGGTACCTTGTCAAGTGAAATGATCTTAAATCCAGTCAATATATTTAATATTTCCCATTTTGAGATGGTTGTGCAGTTATTATTAGATTATCTTATTTCTAGACATTATTTACTTGTTTTAAGTCATTTTATTGAGTAAAATTATCTCACTTTACTGCTGGTTTCAAGCTCATTTCTAAAACAAGCTAAATTATCTGCCAATGTAGTGAGATACTTTTACTTAATAAAATCACTTAGAACAAGTAAAAAATGTTTAGAAATAAAGTAAATAATCTTAATATGAGTTTATAACCATCTCAACAGGAGAAATGTTAGATTTATTGACTATATTTACGATAATTTTACTTGACAAGGTACCATTTTGTGCAGTGAGCAGTGCCATGTTTCAAAAAATAATGTCCAAAACTATGAATATAATTATTTTCACACTTTTTTGCACTAAATCCAGTTAATTTTACTCTCTTTGGAATCAAACATGCAGCTGACAACATCCACGATTTGCTGAGAGAAGCGTAATTTATCACAATAGTGATAAACATTGTCATATTGCCCAGCCCTGCACACTTAAAAGAATGGTTCTTCGATGGTTCTTTAGTAAAGAAGATGGTTCTATATAGAACCCTGAACACTTAAAGAAGCCTTTGCATGATTAAAGGGTTCTTTGCGTCATGAAAACGTTCTTTGGAGTGAAGGAAACTGTGCTGTAGATGGTTCTATAGAGAACCCTTTTTGAAAATGGTTCTATTTAGCATCCAGAAGGGAGCTTCTATTGTAACGGTGTTGAGGAACACTTTTGGGTGCATTATGGGACCCTTTACAAAAAGGGTCTAAATAGAACTGTCTATAGCACATTCTCCATCAATCTGAAGAACCTTTCATGATACACAGAACCCTTTAATCATGCAAAGGGTTCTTTGAGTGTTCAGGGTTCTATGTAGAACCATCTTCTTTACTAAAGAACCCTTGAAGAACCATCTTTGTTAAGAGTGTAGTGTTAATGCTTTGTGTATATTTATCAGCACTCAGCTTTATGATCATCAAAGTCTCCTCCCTGGTGTGAACAGCAGGTTCATAGAGACCAATCAGGCTTATTGTGACCCTGTATTGCGTGTCAGTGCACAATTTGATCCCTCGACGCCGTCGCATTCAGAGATATGGCCTTATTGTATTACTCTGGCCTTTGTATCCTCAATAGACGGATCTACAATCAGACAGTAAGACAATACGCACTCGCGCAGAGGCCCTCAGCTACGCGGAGCGCACCTCCACACTGCTACAGTCACTACAGTCACTGCTGCTCTTGGTCAGAACAAGCTTTTCTGCTGTTTACATTTCTGTCCTCATTTCACACAGTACGGTTTGAAGTTACACTAAGTCAGGAAAAGCCCCTCCCTTCAGTGTTCCCTCCAAAGCCCCGCCCCAAATACGGCCCCTCCCTTCAGTGTTCCCTCCAAAGCCCTGCCCAAATACGGCCCCTCCCTTCTGTGTTCCCTCCAAAGACCTGCCCCAAATACAGCCCCTCCCTTCAGTGATCCCTCCAAAGCCCCGCCCCAAATACGGCCCCTCCCTTCAGTGTTCCCTCCAAAGCCCTGCCCCAAATACAGCCCCTCCCTTCAGTGTTCCCTCCAAAGATCCACCCCCAAATACAGCCCCTCCTTCAGTGATCCCTCCAAAGCCCCGCCCCAAATACGGCCCCTCCCTTCAGTGTTCCCTCCAAAGCCCTGCCCCAAATACAGCCCCTCCCTTCAGTGTTCCCTCCAAATCACCACCCCAAATACAGCCCCTCCTTCAGTGTTCCCTCCAAAGCCCCACCCCAAATACAGCCCCTCCTTCAGTGTTCCCTCCAAAGCCCCACCCCAAATACAGCCCCTCCTTCAGTGTTCCCTCCAAAGCCCCACCCCAAATACAGCCCCTCCTTCAGTGTTCCCTCCAAAGCCCCACCCCAAATACAGCCCCGCCCTTCAATTCGGATTGTTTCTGAGAAAATTGCTGATTAGCAGGCCATTAGCTAAGTATGCTAGGTAGCTGATGTTACCCTTGTAGGCCTGAGTCCCTCAGAGTCCACTTTGTCAGCTCCGCTCTGTCACCTCCGCTCCGTTAGCTCTGCTCCGTCACCTCCGCTCCGTCAGCTCCGCTCTGTTAGCTCCACTCTGTTAGCTTCAGATAAGCTGCTATAATATCCAGTGCTACAACATAAGCTGACATATGTGCAGCTACATTAGCCTGCTAGCTGGCTAAGCTAGCTACTAATCTGTGTGAGCTGGACAGTTTATAGAATGGAACGTCCAGAATAATCATCTCGCTATAAAGAGCAGGAGGGTCACTCCTCCTGCTCCTCCTGCTCCTCCTGCTCTTCCTGCTCCTCCTGCTCAAGATCAGTGAAATCCTTTCTCCTCAGTTTGTCTTTCTTTTTTGGTTTGTTTGGCAGAGTCAGGCTTTTTTGGGGATCTAACCATCTGTCAGTGGGTCTGACCACAACTCTGGTTTGTAGCTGGCTAGCTGTATAAGGCTAAGGCTACAGCTTCTTGCTTTGACCCAACCATAAACATCAGGTGCAGATGTTTCTCAGTAATTACTAAAGTAACTTAACCATTTTTAATGTGCTCCACAGATAAGGTGGCCATCAAGATCCTGGATAAGACCAAGCTGGACCAGAAGACCCAGAAGCTTCTCTCCAGGGAAATCTCCAGCATGGAGAAGCTGCACCATCCCAACATCATCCGGCTGTACGAGGTGGTGGAGACGCTGACCCGTCTGCACCTGGTGATGGAGTACGCGGCCGGAGGGGAGCTTTACACCAAAATCACCACGGAGGGGAAACTGTCCGACATCGACAGCAAGATAGTCTTCTCTCAGGTCCTCTCCGCCGTCAAGCACATGGTGAGAGAGCTTCCAACCCAAAAGACCTCATTCTAGATGCCACTGTCTCAGTTCAAAGATCACTATAGTGGAATGGAAGTATGGAAGATCCAGTTTCTTCCTGTGAACAATTACGAACGAGCGTCATTGGTGAGATTCAGTCAACAAAGGAATTTGTCTGTCTCTCTTAATGACGTCAGCCAGACTCGCTCTCAGTCAGGCTGAAGACCTTGAAGGTTCCCAAGTGGCCACCTTTCACCCAGTTATACGATTATGGAAAAACCCATTTCCAGCTCCAGCATAGTTTGGAGACGGACATAAACAAGTCCGTATCTCATGTCACAGCGTCCTTCTTAAGGCACATAATACAAGCCTTACAGAGACTCCAAAGAACTAGGTGTAAGAAAAATATTCTTATGAAAAAATATTCTGTATTATAAAGATTTATATTTGATTATGGGAGATAATCATTTGAAGCTCGTAAGTGTCGTTCCACATGTTTTATCTGTAGCGTCTAACAGACATTATCATATACACTATGTGGAGAAAAGTATTGGGACACCTCCACATCACACCTACAGGAGCTTTTATGACTCCCATTCTAAATCCATGGGCATTAATATGGAGTTGGTCCCCCTTTCCAGCTCTAACAGCTTCCACTCTTCTGGGAAGCTTCAACAAGATGTTGGAGTCTGTCTGTGGGAATTTCTGCTCATTCATCCAGAAGAGCATTTGTGAGGTCAGACACTGATGTTGGACGAGAGGGTCTGGCTCACAGTCTCCGTTCTAGTTCATCCCAAAGGTGTTTGATGGGGTTGAGGTCAGGGTTCTGTGAGGGCCAGTCAAGTTCTTCCACACCAAACTCACCCAGTCAGGCCTTTATGGAGCTGCTTTGTGCACTGGGGCTCAGTCATGCTGGAACAGGAAAGGTTCTTCACCAAACTGTTCCCACAAAGCTGGAAGTGTACAGTTGTCCAGAATGTCTTGGTGCTGAAGCATTACGGTTCCCCTTCACTGGAACTAAGGGTTCTAGATCAACCCCTGAAAAACAGCCCCATATCATCATCCCTCCTCCACCAAACTCTACAGCTGGCACAGTGCAGTCAGGCAGGTAACGTTCTCCTGGCACTCGCCAAACCCAGACTCGTCCATCAGAAGCTGATTGGTCACTCCACAGAACACGTTTCCACTGCTCCAGAGTCCAGTGGTGGTGCTTTACTTCACTCCTGGTTCTGCCGCCGCTATTTTCCATTCCTAACAACTACCTGAAACACTGCTTAGACTAGGGCTCATATTCACAGTCAGTGACACATCTAGAACCTCCAGAAGACCTAGAATGATGTTTTCTGGTCCCTTTGTAAATCAAAGCATGATTGGTTGGTTCCTCTGTTGCTTCTTAATTATGTTGGCAGTCCAGCTCTTGATGTCCTGACCAATGGGAGAGCAGCTCAGCTAAATCTACCTGGATACCACAGAGCGACCATCCTGCTTGGATCATTTTCTGTTGGTTTAACCCTTTTGTGTCCGACTAAAACTTAATGAAATAAATGCAATGAGCATGAAGATTATATTAAAATTAAAATAAAAACTAAAATAGCAGACGATTCCATAATTCATCAGACCTGCTCTGAACGCCTAGAACGTTCTGAGGAAGCTTCTTGTTCTTGTTAGCTTCATTAGCCTTTTAACTCCGGTGTGAAATGTTCTGAAATCTGGTTTCTTTTTCCCGCAGCACGACAACAACATAATCCACCGCGACCTGAAGGCGGAGAACGTGTTCTACACCTGCAGCACCTGCGTGAAGGTGGGCGATTTCGGGTTCAGCACGGTGAGCCGGCGGGACGAGACGCTCAACACGTTCTGCGGCTCCCCGCCGTACGCCGCGCCCGAGCTGTTCCGGGACCAGCACTACACGGGCGTTCACGTGGATGTGTGGGCGCTGGGGGTCCTGCTGTTCTTCATGGTGACGGGCACCATGCCGTTCAGGGCGGAAACGGTGGCCAAGCTGAAGCGCTGCATCCTGGAGGGCGCGTACGCGGTGCCGGCGTGGGTGCCCGAGCCGTGCCAGAGGCTGATACGCGCCATCCTGCAGCTGCAGCCGTCCGAGCGCTGCGGCCTGGAGCAGATGATGGCCTGCGAGTGGCTGCGGCCCGTGGACTTCCCCAAAGCCATGGAGCCGTTTAAACTGGACCCGCTGTATTTGGCGGAGGCCGGGTCGGCCGAGCTGGAGGAGGACGAGATCGAAGTGAGGAACGCTTTGGAAAAGCTCGGCATCACGACGGAGCACATACGCAACAACCAGGGCAAAGACTGCCGGAGCTCCATCACCGGCGTTTACCGGATCTTCCTGCACCGCGCGCACAAGCGGCGGGCCGTGGAGAGCATGCCCGTGGTCACGCACGTGGTGAGCGGGACGGACGTGAAGAAGGAGCGGCTGAAGGCCTACAGGAGCCTCAGACACACCTCAAAACTCTGCGCCATTCTGTGACGCCAGGCGCGCTCAGACCGCAGGAGTTTGGGTTGAGTAAACGTGGCGAAACGTTTTAGGCTTTTAGGTTTTAATCCAGGTTTGTGAGATGGTTCAATTTGAACAAGCAAAACTTATCGTTACTGGTAAAAACATCACATTTAAAGTATAAATCTGATTCAGATTTTGCTGCTAGAAATCAGGTTTTACAGGAAGGAATGATTTTTACCTGCTTGAATTCAATTTCTTACGTTTTGACATGTTGAATTTTGTTTTGTGTGCAAATTCAGTTCAAACACTGACAAATGAATAACCGTATTATTGCTGTCCAAAAAAATTAATCTCTATTCTATTTAATCAGCCTGGCGGCTTCACTTTACACTGTGTGAAACTGCACTGCAAAAAATCTTCTCTTCTCAAGTCAAACTATCTTAGATTTACTCAATAAATCTAATATTTCTCCTGATTTGATTGTTGTGAGCTTAATTTAAGATTATTTACCATTTTCACTTGTTTTAAGTAATTTTATTAGTAAAATGATCTCACTATACTGGCAGGTAATTTTGCTTGTTTGCTTGTTTTAAGAAACCAGCAAAATAATCCGAGAGTATGGTGAGATCATGTTTCTTGATAAAATTACTTAAAAAAGGGTAAAAAGGTCTAGAAATAAGCTCAATAGTCTCATAATAAGTGCAAAACCATCTCAGAATATTAGATAAATCAACTATAATTAAGAAAATTTCACTTGACAAGATTCTGTTTTTGCAGTGTTTAACTGGACCAATAGAAATGCTCCAAATTCACTCAAAACCTCTAAAAATGAACTTACATTAAAAGCTAAGACCTTTTTTTGCTTCTCCTCTAAAGTTGCTCTTTTAAAGATCTCTGGACAGCAAAGATATCTTACAATTTAATTCATACTATTAAAGATTCTTCCTTCTATTAAAATCAACTGAGTAAAGCATTTAAATCTTACTAAATGTGAACTAAAATCTTACTAAAATATATTTCCTTCTAGTAAAAGCTGAATGTTTGAATCTGGCCTGAATTTAAACGCTTCAGAATTCATTTCTTCTCTTCCTAAAATACACCACATTTCACCTGCAAAGGCCCTTAGATAGAACAGTTACTGTATAAAGAAGAAAAGCATTAAAATCAGTAAATTAGTCCACCTCCTCGAATCTACACTCACTGTCCATTTTATCAGCTCCACTGACCGCATAGTTTCACTCTGTAGTTCTACAGTTACAGACTGTAGTCCATCTGTTTCTCTGATACTTTGTTAGCCCCCTTTTACCCTGTTCTTCAGTGGTCAGGACCCCCATGGACCCTCACAGAGCAGGTACTATTTGGGTGGTGGATCATTCTCAGCACTGCAGTAACACTGACGTGGTGGTGGTGTGTTAGTGTGTGTTGTGCTGGTCTGAGTGGATCAGACACAGCAGTGCTGCTGGAGTTTTTAAACACTGTGTCCACTCACTGTCCACTCTATTAGACACTCCTACCTTGTCGGTCCACCTTGTAGATGTAAAGTCAGAGACGATAGCTCATCTGCTGCTGCACAGTTTGTGTTGGTCAACCTCTAGTCCTTCATCAGTGGTCACAGGACGATGTTGGCTGGATATTTTTGGTTGGTGGACTATTCTCAGTCCAGCAGTGACACTGAGGTGTTTAAAAACTCCAGCAGCACTGCTGTGTCTGATCCACTCGTACCAGCGCAACACACACTAACACACCACCACCACGTCAGTGTTACTGCAGTGCTGAGAATGATCCACCACCCAAATAGTACCTGCTCTGTGAGGGTCCATGGGGGTCCTGACCACTGAAGAACAGAGTAACAGAGTGGAGTCAGTGGAGCTGATAGAGTGGATGTGGTTTTAATGAAGTGGCTGATTGGTGTATGTATTACATTAATACATCTCCACCTAGTGGACATATTTAGAACTGCAGTAACAAACATATTTAAAATCATGTTTTGATGTATGATCGAGTATTAAAAGTCTGTAAAATGCCGTCTGAGCCAGCAGTTTTACTAGAATCTGATATTTTTAATTGTTCAAATTGAAGTTCTGATGGATTAAGAGCTAAAACGGTGGGCCACGGTGCGATGAATGTTTATTTATTTATTTTTTCTGTTCTTTTTTTCCCACATAACACACACAGACATTTCTACTGAGTCTGCTGGTTGAGTGCCATTAGTTTTGGTGACAGGCGGCTCCAGGTCTCCTCCCTGAACGAGTGAAGCTAAGTGTGTCCACTTCATCACTGTCGTTTCTCCACCTTCAGTTTTAGGTGCTCAGTGATGTAGCGGAGCTCAGCGGTCCAATTAGAAGTCTGATCTGCTTTTAGCGTTCGTTTATCCTGATCTGAATAAATTCAGAGGCTGTTTGCGCCTCGACTCAGACAGGTTTATCAGTTTAATCAGTGAAAATGTCTTTTGGTTTCCAGTCAGTTACTTTTTAAGAGGAGAACTGATGAAAAATAAGAAAAATGAACAGAAACCAAAACTGCGAAGAATTCAGTGCTGCAATATTTACATCATTTAACAAGTGAAAACATCTAAATCTACAACTCTCAGAAAAGATGGTTCTTCAAGGGTTCTTTAGTTCTTTAGCAGCTTCTATATAGAACCATGAACACTCACAGAACCATTTGCATGCTTAAAATGTTCTCTGCATGGGGAAATGGTTCTTTAGACTGATGGATAATGTGCTGTATATGGTTCTATATAGCACCAAAAGGGTTCTGCTACTGTATAAGCTTGTGACAATAGAAGGACCCTTTTTGGTGCTATATAGAACCCTTTTCAAATTGGTTCAATGTGCACTGTCAGCGTGCAGGGCGGACCGGCTCTGATCTGAAGAACCGTTTCACCATGCAAAGAACCATTCAAGCATGCAGACGGTTCTTTGAGTGTTCATGGTTCTACACAGAACCATTGTTTTTGCTAAGGAACCATTGAAGAACCATCTTTTTTAGGAGTGCAGTCAATAATTCTAGCATTTCTCATTATGGGAACATGAATATAAAATTATATCCACTGATATTACTGGTTATCAGAATTTTTAGCCCTTATAATCTGTATCAGTATCACATACTGCTCGTATCAGCCCTGATCAATGCTGCATTTAAAGACTAATAAAGCAATAAAGTAGCTGTAATAAAACTCTATCAGCCAGCGTTTCCGTAAAATCATCATTATTCCAGTCATAATCACTCCGTTACACCAGCCTGACACATTCTACCCTGCTCAGCAGTTCCAGCTGTGGCCACTAGAGGGAGTGCAGTTTTCCCCCTGCAGTGCCGCCTGTGATCAACACTAATAAACTCTGATTTTAATATCAGAGTCTGTATGAAGGGAAGCAGCACTCATGAGATTTCTGGTATTTTCCACGAATAGAGCACCTTTTATGTTCTGCTATCATTTTTCATGCACAGAATATTAAAAATGTGAATTTAAAAGTCATTTAAATAGTTTTGTTTTGTATGGAGGGGTTGATACGAGTCCTTTAGTGGTAAAACTGTCATCTCCAAAACAAGGAGAAGATGAAACATACTTTACTTTTAGTGTAAATCAATGAAACCACATTTTGTTCAAGTGGTTTTGGGCCATTCATCATAAAATATACACACAATGTAAATTTCAAATTTCAATGTAAATGACAAAAATGCAGATTTTCCGAGCAGCGATTTGCATTTTTGATGATATTTTATTGGTGTTATTGCGATTGTTATTTAAAACTGTTCATTAGTATATTAGTGTACTCCGTTAATAGACTCTGAGTAGTAATCATACACAGAGTGTGACCAACTCTGCTGCTAAACATGTAAACAGGAAATCGCATCATCAGCAGCATCTCCAGGAGAAAAGTCATTTTAGCCTAAACAGGCTTCAGTGGCAGGAAGTAACTTAAGCGCATAATTATTATTACTTAAAATAAGCTAATTATGCAAATACGTTTTCACCATTAAAGGACAAACCAACCAAACCATAATCATTAAACCCTAATTTACACATAAAATAAATATTTTACTTAATATTCTGTGCTGGTATTGTTTTATAAATGGGAGTGCTGGTGGAGTTGTCGAGGCTGGGAGTGGCCGGTCAGCGTGAGGAGGCCTTTCTGAGCAGTCAGGACTTTAACGCGTCCGATTTTGCGTCCTGTTCAATCATAAAGTGATGAGAAGCGTCTGAAGCTGGGCGACTGTGGTGAAGACGTCGACAGCCTCAGCAGCAGCTTTAAGATTTAACCCCTCAGTAGTGAAACGTGAAGCTGCCTCTAATGAACTTTAAGTGCACTTTAGCAGAAATGTGAGTTATTTTCATCTTTCCTGTAGCAGCTGTACTGTACTGTTTATAAAGATGATTTATTTCATTAATTCAGGATGTTTTTTTATGTTTGATACATGAACATATCTAAAGGCAATAAATGTCCTGACTGAGACGCTCTGTGTGGGACTCGTCTGTTAAATATTGATGCTTCAGCGTCTCTGAGGCCTTTTAGAAGCGCTCAGTGAGGCCTGGATCACTCTGTGAATTAAAGCTCCAGTTAAATTATAAAGATTCATTTAATAATAAACTGCAGTAAAATATAGATTCAGCCAGGCTGGAGCCGGGCGATACGGCAGAATGCAATATCATGATACTTCAGCAGGTTCTGACATCTGATAAGTTAGAACAGACAAAGCAGCGCCGCATATTAATAATACTATTAAAAATACTATATTAAAAATCTGTCTATATAGAACCAAAAAGGGTTCTGCTATTGTCACAAGCTTGACATCATAACAAAAGCAGAATGCTTGTTGGTTGGTTTTGAGATACGATCTCATTATTTTGAGATATTAAGTCATTATTCTGGGACACTATCTCATTATTTTAAGATGCTAAGTCATTATTTTGAGATACTACCTTGTTATCTTGAGATGCTGAGTCATTATTCCAAGATACTCTTATTATTTTAAGATGCTAAGTTGTTATTTTGAGATGTTAAGTCATTATTCCGAAGTACTACCTCATTAATTTGAGATATTATCTCATTATTTTGAGATTCTAAGTCATTATTTTTACATAATCTGAGATACTATGTCATTATTTTGAGATATAGTCATTATTGTAAGATGTTCAGTCATTATTTTGAGAAACGTTCATGTTATTCTGAAAAACGTCCTCATTACTTTGAGACGCTTTAGGCTTTTGAGATGAAAATACAAAAGATTATAACATAAAAGCTGAGAATGCGAATGTTTCTCAAAAAAATAATGAGATAGATGCTAAGCCATTGTTTTGAGATATTAAGTGATTATTTTGAGATACTATCACGTTATGTTGAGATGCTAAGTCATTATTTTGAGATAAGTCATTATCTTTATATGCTAAGTCATTATTCTGAGATACTATGTCATTCTGAGATACTGTCTCATTATTTTGAGATATTAAGTCATTATTCTGAGATGCTGTTATTATTTTGAGATACTATCTCATTATTTTGAGATGCTGAATCATTGTTTTGAGATACTACCTTGTTATCTTGAGATGCCAAGTCATTATTCCAAGATACTCTTATTATTTTGAGACGCTAAGTCATAATTTTGAGATGCTAAGTTGTTATTTTGAGATGTTGTCATTATTCTGAGATTATATTATATTATGAGACTATCTCATTATTTTGAGATATAGTCATTATTGTAAGATGTTAAGTCATTATTTTGAGATGCTGTTATAATTTTGAGATACTATCGCATTATTTCAAGATGCTAAGTCATTATTGTGAGATGCTGTTATTATTTTGAGATACTATCATTATTTTGAGATATTAAGTCATTTTAAAATGCTAAGCCAATATTTTGAGCTACTGTCTCATTATTTCGAGATGCTAAGTCATTATTGTGATATACTGTTATTATTTTGAGATACTATCTCATTATTTCGAGATGCTCAGTCATTATTGTGAGATGCTGTTATTATTTTGAGATACTATCGCATTATTTCGAGATGCTCAGTCATTATTGTGAGATGCTGTTATTTTGAGATACTATCTCATTATTTTGAGATATTAAGTCATTATTTTAAAATGCTAAGCCAATATTTTGAGCTACTGTCTCATTATTTCGAGATGCTCAGTCATTATTGTGAGATGCTGTTATTATTTTGAGATACTATCTCATTATTTCAAGATGCTCAGTCATTATTGTGAGATGCTGTTATTATTTTGAGATACTATCTCATTATTTCGAGATGCTCAGTCATTATTGTGAGATGCTGTTATTATTTTGAGATACTACCTCATTATTTCTATATATCAAGTCATTATTTTAAAATGCTAAGTCAATATTTTAAGATACTACCTCATTATTTTGAGATATTAAGTCATTATTTTGAGAAACGTTCATGTTATTCTGAAAAACTTCCTGATTATTTTGAGACTCTTTATGCTTCTGAGATGAAACTATGAATAATTCTAAACATAAACACTAGGAAAGCGGATGTTTCTCGAAGAATAATGAGACAGTATCACAGCGTGTTCGAGTTTGAAGCAGAATTACCAGATAAAACCCTCGGAAATCTTGAGCTGAGCTCTTCTCCGTAAAGACCACATTTCCCAGAAGTCCTTTGGTGCTGACTCGCCGCTACGGGATGACGCAATTTCTGCCCCGTTGGAGGGTGATTTCAGCAGGAAGGACAGACCGAGAGAAAAAACAGAAAACCCTCCCGGAGAGCCGCGCTGACAGCTCGAAACCGGAGAAACCCGGACAGGTCAACCGCGCAGCACGGTAAGAGCCGACGGGGCCTCGGCGACGTAATAAACTCATCATTATTAACAGGGCGGCGGGTTAATTGGGGCTAATTAGCTGCGCGTTTCTGCCTCAGCCCGGTTTGTTTGGTCAGTTGAGGGTCTAAACGGTGTCGGATGTGTTTATTACTGCTCTCACAGTTCGGCCTGAGAACTGGGGTTAAATGATGATGACGCTGTAAAGGATTTAAAGAGGTTATACTGATCGATATAGTAAACAAATGCGGATTAATTGATTAATTAGCTGGTCATTCTGGCATTTGCTGTCTAACAGCGTTGGTTTAGTCTTTGTTCGGTCTATCTCCACCAAAAAAGGAGAAAAAACTGCCTTTGCCTTCTTATTCGCTCGAATTCTCCGTTCCACCTTAAATGGTGCAGCAGTAACGTTGTGGCGCGTCAGGCGAACCAACGTAACTGCTGCACCGTTTAAGGTGGAACGGAGAATTCGAAAATAGAGCTTCGTTAAATGTCATGAATTACAGCTTATTAGTGCCGGTGGATGTTTATTATGATCCGATGCGGTCATTATTAACCCTTTGGGTTCATTTTAGTTTGATTAAAGCTTCAGTCTGAATCTGTGTGGCTGTGTTTGCTCGATCATGTGACCTGCGGGTGGAGCTGATGTGGAAATGCGCAACTGCGGTTTGCACACATTTTCAGCTTCTGCTTCATTGTTATTGGGTAATGATCACAACAGGACAGAGAAGCATGAGGTCATTAGGACGAGGAGACAAAGGGAAACGGTCTAAAGGGGAGAAGAGAAATTACATACGTTTAATGAAAACCCGACGTGCTGCAGAGAAAAATAGTCTTTATAGTATTTTTGTTCTGCTAGTTTTTAATTGCAGTAAAATAGTGTTTATATTCCGACATGCAGGCTGAGAAAAAGGCCTCTTGTGGCTCATTTTGCCTTTGTGAATATAAAAAAATCAATAAATCGATCAGACAGAACTGATTTTTGACCTGGAATCCAAACAATACATATAAAAAGATAAAGATGAATGACTGAAATAATGTCAGTTACACTCTTAGTTCTATATAGAACCGAAAAAGGGTTCTTTGAGTCTTCATGGTTCTATATAGAACCAGTTTCTTTAAAGAACCACCTTTTCTTCTGTTGTTACAGCCCTCTTAAAAGGATGGTTCTTCAAGCGTTCTTTAGTAAAGAAATCCGTTCTATATAGACTCAAAGAACCCTTTGTATGATTAAAGGGTTCTTTGCATCATGAAAGCGTTCTTCAGATTGATTGAGAACTTGCTGTAGATGGTTCTATGTAGCACCAAAAAGCGTTCCTCTGTTGTTATTATGTTAAGCTTGTAACCACAGGAGAACCCTTTTGGTGCTATATAGAACCCTTTTCGAAAAGGTTCTGTATAGAACCATATACCTCACATTCTCTGTCAAACTAAGGAACCATTTCACCATGCAGAGAACTGTTTAATTATACAAAGGGTTCTTTAAATGTTCCTGGTTCTGTATAGAATCATTTTGTTTATTAAAGAACCCTTGAAGAATTAAACAGGCTGTTTATGTTACCTTTAAAACCGATATATGTAAATGAGCTCTGCTCTCATTGGTTGTCTTGTATTATAATACAACAGTTAGTTCCGGCCACGCGAGCTGATTGGTTGAGAAGCGTCTAACTGGGCAGTTATTTTCATATCTTCAGAGTCGGACCGAATCAGACTGAGCCATAAAACTGCCGCAATATCAGGTTCAGCTCATTTTTGTCCATTTTTGCCAGATCAGTATTAATGTTGTTTTGTTCCAGCCAGTCTGTAAAGCATCTTACAGCCCATTTAGTTTGGCGAATGGTGTTGGGTTCATTTCTGGCTGATTCCAGGTTGTTCAGCTGTTCTTCTGTCACAGCTGCCGACTGAAAAGCTGCTCAGTGGTGATGACAGTTTGGGAATTTAGTGTAAGGAGCTGGAGAACGAACTGCCGGCTGTGCAGTGAGTGGGCGGAGCTCGTTACTCTGACGTAGCAACAAGCTGCTCGTTAAGGAACTATAATTTGGTGAAGGAACTGCGAACATTAAAACATATTAAACGCCGCGTTCACGGCCCAGTTTATTAATTTATTACTGTATTTATTTAACTGTTGTATTAAAGCAGTAGAACACTCGAGGAGTGTGTTATCGCCAATAACATCACGGCTGTGATGATCTACGCCTCTCGCCTTTGGCTCGTGCTCGTGTTAAGCTTATAACCATAAAAGAACCCGTTTTGGATACGCGATACGCAAGACGTTCTCCATCAGTCTAAAGAACCATTTCACCCTGCAAAGATCCGTTTAATCGTGCAAAGCGTTCTTTTAAGTGTTCATGGTTCTGTATAGAACCAGTTTCTTTACTAAAGAACCCTTGAAGAACCATTGTTTTTAAGAGCGTACACATCTTGAGAGATTTACAGTCTTTGCGCTGCTCCCGGATCAGTTCCACTCTCGTCACTCTTACAAAAGATGGGAACACTCAAAGAACCGTTTGCATGCTTAGAAGGTTCTCTGCATGGTGAAATGGTTCTTCAGATTGATGGAGAACGCCTGCAACCAAATCACAGCCGTGATGTTATTTGGCGGTAACACACTCCCTCTGTGTTCTATTGCTTAATTGAGTCTCATTCAGAAAGCAGGCGCAACACTCCTTATAACTTCAGTGAGAGTGGGTGGAGCTAAACTGCTGTAGGCTGAATAGGTGGACATATGTAAATGTTTAGTTTCTGTTTATGAAGCGTATGTTATATAATGTAAACAGCATATTTTGAAACTTTAACAGTGTTTACGTCTACATCAAACTCATTTATTTAATTATTTAAAAAACGTGAGTATATTCAGGTTTTCCATGGTTTGGGCTCTTTAATATGCATTGACGTGCAGTGACCTTCACATTGTGTCAAAATACTGTGACGAACTGACCAATAGAAATTGCAAATTGAAGATGATGTTCAGTTTGATGATAATTAATGTGCATTTTAACAGATAAACAAACAAGTAAATTCATTAACACATCCTGAACTGCGTACGGGAGGCAGCCGAAGGCTCTGAGGTCAGAAGGCCTCGTCCTCTGTGGTCATCGTGTGTGTCTGGGTTTTTTACCGTTCTGCGTGATTTTTAAACTGCATTGTTTATTGTTTATTGTTGTTGTTTACTGTTTACAGATGTCTGTCAGTGAGGATCTGCCGGATATGGACAGTGCGGAGCTGCTGGGGCTGCTGTTTCAGGATATCGACCCAGGACCCACCGACCTCCTCTTTGCTGATGGAAACAACTTTATTGAAGACCTGCTGTCTGAGCAGGACGTGAGTAGAGATGCACTGATACCACCATTTCCCCTCCGATACCTGATCCTTAAGTACTGGTCGATACAGAGTGCCGATACCGGTACTAACTCTAAAATGTCTAATATAACATCTAAATAAAACGTACTGAGCTTGACTGAATCACATTTACTTCTTGTATTATATATACATGTTGCTTTTTATATTGGGTGTTAATTTCATGATGAATGGACCAAAATAAATGGCCCAAAATGACTCGCAAAGAATTCTGGTTCCATTGACGTACATTAAAAGTAAGGTGTGTTTTTTCCTTCTCCTGTAAAGTTACCATTTTGGGGGATACAAGGTTTTTCCGACAACAGCGACATATTTAGTGTTTACTATTGTGTAATTAGTAATAATAATGATGATGATAATAATAATGATAATAATAATAATAATAATAATAATAATCTAACAACTTAATGAATGAATATAGAATGTTTATTGTGCAAAGTAGTTAAAAACAGAGCTGAACTTATATAATCAGTGAGGCGTGAGTGTGAAGCGTCTTCACGCTGTGGCATGCGGTCAGTCCACACAGCGCTCAGACAGAGCTGAGTATGATGTGTACGTGGGAGTCGACACGCCTTTACATTCTTGCTGTAAATAGAAACGTCCGTCTGTGATCAGCTCAGATTATACAGGAGCTTATTTCAGTCGATATTTCCTAATATTTAACCCTTTAAGCTGCTGGCTTATTACTCACTTTTAATCCATAAAGGGGAACTCCACCACTTTTTTTCAAATTTCCCTCATAACTCAGTGTGTGAAATGTAATCAGAGTGATTCAGAGTGGTTTGGTGTGAAATGGTTCAGACGTCTTTACAGTGGTGGTGATAGGAACCAGGGGTCGCCATGACTACAACACAAATATAGACATTTTATTTACTATCCAGAACCACCAGTGAACCTACACGAGTCTTCTGAGTTTATATGGAATGTTGATGATGGAAAATAGTGGAAAATCTGAAATAATAAGTTTTCTTTGGGGACTATTTTGCCTCACAGCGCCCTGCATGTATCCCTCCACCATGAATGGAGTTTAAGTTCTCTAAACTATCATAAAACAGTGTCTCAGTCATCAGGCAGTGAATTCATAACCATTTCATGTAGGAACTTTCTGTGAGGGAGCTTTTAGAGGTGGACGTCTGGTTCCTATCACCACCACTGTAAACAGTTCTGACTCGGTAAGTTTATCTAGAACAGAGCGTTTCACACCAAACCACTCTGAACCACATCTTAACTGTTTAATTATGCAAGAATTTCGAAAAATCACTGGAGTTCCCCTTTAGGACATTTCAGCTGTTGGAGTTTCCACTGGGGAAGTTGTGATTCTGGTCATGATCTCTGGGATTGATTCATGATTCATGATTGTGTTGCTCAAAAAACAAACAAACCTGACTACAGTAGTAACGACACAATCAATCGATTAATTATAAATCTTTAATTAAAATGATTTTTCATACAGCCAGTATGTACATAAACATAAATAAAGAACCGAGACATTGTTTACAGGTTCTGTGGGTGTCGCCTGCTCGTCATGTCATGCTAAAACGTTCAAATGTTGAAGTTCTACTCTGTTCTATATAGAACCATATACAACACGTTCTTGATTAATAAAGGAGCATATTTTGGACACCAAACGTGTCTCGGCTGATTTTCTGCATTTGAGGTTAAACTGTGTAAATTTGCTGATTTTTCCTGAACTTTCCCTTTAGCGTAGCTGCTGGCTGGCGTGGCCCGGAGAGTCTAACGCGCCGTCTGTGTTTGTGTAGATGCTGAGTGCGATGGACACGGAGGATTTCCTCAGCAGTCTGTTAGGTGAGGACGATGACTGTATGACCGCTCCGTGTGTTTCCCACTCTCCGCTGGGCAGCGACAGCGGGATTTCGGACGATGCAACGCCCCCCCACTGCCCGAGCCCCCACAGCGAGACGGACATGGCCCCCAGCCCGGTCTCCAACGAACCGTCCCCGCCGGCCGAGTGCCTGACGGAGAGCTTTGAAGCCCAGGTGGTTCAGACTGACCACTGCTACTCCCTACAGCAGGACATCTACACCCTGCAGACCGTCCGCACAGAAAAACCCGACTCGGACGTCTTCATCGACCTCGGTGAGTCTGAGGGAGAAACGAACTGCTGACTTAAAACGCTAACGCTAGCTAACGGTCCTGCTGGATTGATCGAATGGCTAGACTTCTTCTCGCTCCCGGTGTAGAGAGTAAGCGATGCACAGCGCCACCCAGTGTCCTGAAGCAGCAGCTGTTCACAGTAGCCTCTGCTGCTGAAGCTGGACTGAGGAACAGAATAGCGTCGTTGTTTAATCAGCTCACATGTTCGTTATTGATTAAGGTAATTTGAACTGCAGACTGAACTGTTGTTGTTTTCCAGACGATATGGAGGACAGCCTGAACGACGACCTGTCGGACGAACTGCCCTGTTCACTCGTCATCGAGAACTCCGCACAGAGCAAACCAGACCAGCAGGTATCTCTTCTACACCTTCACCCCCCACACACCCACACCCACACCCTCCCCTGCCGTATTACAGACAGCGCTCTGACTGAAGGGTCCCTGTTTGTGTGCAGTTCCAGTTTAAGGAGATCGTGCTCACGGATGAAGAGAGGAGGCTGCTGGCGAAGGAGGGAGCCACCATACCGTCCCACATGCCTCTCACCAAGGTGAGGTACTCCACACGTCTTCTTACGTCACAGCTCTTCACTGCGGAATTAGAGGAATGAGGTGTAGGCGGGAATGAGCCAGGCCCGGATCATCCAGCTGTCACCCTCTAGACACACCTACCTTATTTGGGTGGTCAGTGAATGTTTAATGATGTACGAGGTCTGCGCAGCTCCACGCTGGCGGCTCTCGAGCCGCAGTGTTTGGCTCCTCAGCTCTTTAAGAGCATGTTTTTCCAGTTGAGACAAAACAATAACAACACTGCAGTACAGTACGAGTCCACCTGGGCTTTTTCTCGCCGCTGTCCGCTGCGCCGGATCTCTCTGTTCACCGCTGGTGGGCTAAACATACATGCTTTCGCTTTTTAATGTGTTTATGATTCTCAGATTGCATCACTCGTCCACAAAAGTTACGTTCGCTCAGTCTCAGTCAAACATCCTTCCCTCCGAATCCTCACTGTCAACGCTTCCTTATAAAACTGTAGTTTCATTATTATGTAAACCTCTAATGGACTCGAGAGAGAGAGAGAGAGAGAGAGAGAGAGAGAGAGAGAGAGAGAGAGACGCTGTTTCCGTTTGCTGTTTGTACCATTGCCTGATTGGCTAAATGCAGTGCGGAGACTGCATTCATTTGCATAAAGCTGAAACCTGCTGATCTTTTTGCCGCACAGATTTTGCCGCATCGCAAACCATCACCGCACCACACGATGCGACAGAGCTCTCTGCTGAAATGAACAGGATGCTGCGAGGCAAGTGGTCACGTACCGCTAAGAGAATGCAGGATAACATAACCCCAAGAACCGATGCTACTGTTCCCTATGAAGTACGCATTCGCTCTTCACAACGGAGACGGCGTTAATTAAAATCGGATCGTTTAAATGTGCAGAAAGACGGAAAAAAGCTGCAAACTTAAACCTTACAACCTTACACCAGGTTGTGAATTACATTGTTAAGTACACAACATGTGTCAGGCTCCAGTCCTCGCAGGCCAAAACACTGCAGACTTCAGCTCACAGCCTCATTAAACACACCTGCTTCAGCTCGTCAGCTGATTAGCAAGGCCTTCATGAACTGAATTCAGGGAGTTAGATGAGGGTAAAGACTGATCTCCGCAGCACTTCGACCCAAAACGTCCCCAGTTTGACACACCTGGAATTGAGTGCTTTCCACTCTGTTTACACTGAATCACACCAGCTGGTGCTGTTTTCTGTGATTCACTGTAAACCTTAGTGGGATGTTTAAAAGACCAAATAAACAAACCTTTATAGCTTTAATGATTAACTCTTTATTTACGTACTGTGTCGTGTTTTGCCAGGCTGAGGAGAGAACTCTGAAGAGAGTGAGGAGAAAGATCCGGAATAAACAGTCCGCTCAGGAGAGCCGCAAGAAGAAGAAGGTCTACGTGGACGGCCTGGAGAACAGGTGAGGGTCATAAACGAAACACTGCATATGGACATAGAAAATAGAGATATCCCGAAATTTCAGCCACTGAAAACAGACACCCTGAAATGGTTGAAAGTGCCACTTATGGGTTTCAGCTGAAAGAGAAAAAGGGTGGAAAATTTTGGCTGAATAAAAGCAAAATATTAAATAAAACGTCCAAATCTAACTCTGTCAAATAAACTGAAAAAGGCTAATCACATTTAATCAGTAGAACCTGAGAGGGTTATAGTGTGTTATAGTGAAATAACATCACGGCTGTGATTTGGTCGCCGTAGATCATCACAGCCGTGATGTTATTGGCGATAACACACTCCTTGAGTGTTCTACTGCTTTAATACAACAGTTAAATAAATACAGTAATAGATTAATAAACTGGGCCGTGAACGCGGCGTTTAATATGTTTTAATGTTCACAGTTCCTTCACCAAATTATAGTTCCTTAACGAGCAGCTTGTTGCTACGTCAGAGTAACGAGCTCCGCCCACTCGCTGCACAGCCGGCAGTTCGTTCTCCAGCTCCTTACACTAAATTCCCAAACTGTCATCACCACTGAGCAGCTTTTCAGTCGGCAGCTGTGACAGAAGAACAGCTGAACAACCTGGAATCAGCCAGAAATGAACCCAACACCATTCGCCAAACGTGTAGTCTGATCTTCAGAGTCTGACCAAATCAGACTGAGCCATAAAACTGCCGCAATATCAAGTTCAGCTCAGTTTTGTCAGTTTTTGCCAGATCAGTATTAATGTTGTTTTGTTCCAGCCAGTCTGTAAAGCATCTTACAGCCCATTTAGTTTGGCGAATGGTGTTGGGTTCATTTCTGGCTGATTCCAGGTTGTGTTACTGCAGTGCTGAGAATGATCCACCACCCAAATAGTACCTGCTCTGTGAGGGTCCATGGGGGTCCTGACCACTGAAGAACAGGGTAAAAGGGGGCTAACAAAGTATCAGAGAAACAGATGGACTACAGTCTGTAACTGTAGAACTACAGAGTGCACCTGTATAGTAAGTGGAGTTGATCAAATGGACAATGAGCGTAGAAACAAGGAGGTGGTCAGAATGTTATGCCTGACCGGTGAGTGTGTGGGTGTGTGAGTGTGTGGGTGTGTGTGTGAGTGTGTGGGTGTGTGTGTGGGTGTGTGAGTGTGTGGGTGTGTGAGTGTGTGGGTGTGTGTGTGGGTGTGTGTGTGGGTGTGTGTGTGGGTGTGTGTGTGAATGTGTGTGTGTGAGAGAGTGTGTGTGAGTGTGTGTGTGTGTGTGTGTGTGTGTGTGTGTATGTATGTATATATATATGTATGTATATATATATATATATATATATATATATATATATATATATATATATATGTATGTATGTATATGTATGTATATGTGTATGTATGTGTATATATGTATATGTATGTGTATATATGTATATGTATGTATATGTATATGTATGTATATGTATATGTATATGTATGTATATGTATATGTATATGTATGTGTGTATATATATATATATATATATATATATATACACACACACACAATTAAATGTTTTTGTTTTATGCTGATATCTGGGTTATTTCATGTTTATTCTATGTCATTATTCAGTCTTTCTGTCTCCCTGCACTGTGTATTATGTATAATGCGCAAAGTAAACCAGACTAAATCTGGTGAGAATTTGTTCTAACAAGTGAATTTGGCCTAAATGTTTTCCCAGATTCTGCATCGTTCTGTTTCGTTCCCTTTGATTGTATATAACCCTGATTGATCACTGATTAAAGCGTGTTGTGCTTCACAGGGTTGCCGTCTGCACAGCTCATAACCAGGAGCTCCAGAAAAAGGTTCAGATGCTCCAGAAGCAGAACATGTAAGAAAATCTGCAGCAGTATTAAAATATGCACTCAACTGCCTTGTTATTTATTACTGATCACGTTTATCTTTTGTTCATCTTCACCGTGAGCAGGTCTCTGATTGAGCAGCTGAAGAAACTGCAGGCCATGCTGAAGATGTCCGCCATGAAGACCACCACGACCAGCACCTGTGTGATGGTGAGTAGAGTGAACCCAGTGGGTCTGATTTGAGTAATTTGTGAAGCAGAGGTGATTTAATGTACACATATAAAGTCCCATAAGGGTAAATAATGACATCATTAATGCTTATGTTTTGTTTTTTTTTTCCTGCAGGTGTTCCTTCTGTCTTTCTGTCTCATCATCTTCCCCTCCATCAATCCGTTCAGCAGTACCAGTCAGAAGGATCTGTATATCACTTCAAAAGGTAATCAGTACAGTCCACAAAGCACACAGATACAGTGCTGTGTGAAAGTTAGAGACCCTGTATTATTTATTATTACTGTTAATTTCCAGCCATTAAAGGTGCAGTGTGTGGGATTTTGGGGGAGCTATTAGCAGAAATGGAGTATATTATACAAAACCGTGTTTTTATTGGTGCATAATCACCTGTAACTATGAATCGTTGTGTTTTCGTTAGCTTAGAATGAGCCACCATGTTTCTACAGAAGCCCCGAACAGACAAACCAAACACTGCCTCTAGAGGGCGCCTTTCACGCTTTTACACTGAAGCGACAGATTGAATTTGGTGGCGCTGTAGCTCTGGCTGGAAGACCCAGAAAGAAGAAGAATCAGTGGTTGGCTTTTGTGAGAAATTTGAGATCCCAAATTTAGACAAACGGAGGATCAGAATTATTCTTTATCAGAAGAAAAAGTGAGGGAGGTGAATCGTCACCGTCAAAGAGGAGAAAACATGAAGAAACAAAACGAAATCAGGACAGACGATGGCAGAAAACCTGACAGCCACCATAGGTTCTACTGCACGCTTGGATAGGGAGGGGTAAGGGAGGGAGGGGGTTTCAGCTGGTTGCAATCTGCAGCCTCACCACTAGATGTCACTAAATGTTACACACTGCACTTTTGAGCACAAGTTATTTATTTTTGAGATGTGGAGATTAGATTTTAGATAAACCACCAGCGAAAGAAAGGAGAGAGTCAAAGTGAAAATAAGTGAAATAAACAGGAATATGGGTCTGAAAGGACGTGTAGCTGTCAGAAAGCCCTCACTGAAAGAAGAACGTCTGCCCTAGATGAGATGTGGAACGATGTTGATGAGCCTAAATTTTAGAAACAGAAACTTCTAAGACTGAACTTTGGAGGCGTGGCTGCAGATTTCTTTGAGGAACTGAAAGTGAAAGGAAACAAGGAAACAAATCATCAGTGAAACCAGTGTTCGGGTCTCAAATTAAAATCTGATTATTTTAAACTTGCATTAAGGTCAAGAATGTGTTTCTTTTTCTAAAATTATTGCTTGTGTCTTCCAGCTGGAATATCCCGGAACATCCGCTCGTACCCCCTGATGTCCGGGCCAGAGGAAGCGGTCAGCTCCACTAAAGAAACCGTGGAAGAGGAGCCCGTCCTGGTGATCAAGGTGGAAAACGACCAGATCCTGCTGACCGGCGGCCAGAACCATACTCCAGATTACCACCAGGTGGAGCAGTCCGACTCCGAGTCCGGCGTGAACAACAACTCGTCCTCCGATTTCCCCGCCGCGCCGCAGTCTGACCTTCAGCCAGCGGGGGAGCTCTCAGAAACGCACAGGGACCCAGCGGCGCCCCCGGTGGTGTACGATGGCCAGAGCAAAGCGAAGGAGGACTGGATTGGACAGAAACCCACGTCAGTTATCATACAGCAGCATCGCTCTGACGAAATGTAGATCAGATGCACCGACACATGAAGAAGGGACAGATGTAATATCTTTATTTAATTTCGGGCTGTTTCTCACACGGGTCTAACCTGTGTACCTAGTTCTGGGACTAAATTGCGACGCTGATGGTGTCTCATCATTGAAAAGCATATTTGGTCTAGGCTTAAGCTAAATCTGGGTTTAGGAAACCGGCCATTGATCTACTGTAAGATAAATGGGCTCCTTTCTTCTCTTCTTTCGTTCTCTCCATTTCTCTCTCTTGTTTCTGCCCTTTCTTACACTGGATTATTTTTTGAAAGCACTTTCTTCACATCCACTCGTTTTTTTAAACACGTCGTCCTGCACACGTTTATCCTGGTGCCCAGGTTTTCTCTCCGGAAGCGCTGAAGAGATTAAACAAGTTCTCGCTGTGTCCATAATTACTGTTACAGTGGGTGTCATAATGTGTATATAGATGCAGTAAAACTGAGCCACTGCAGGGCATTTGGCTACATAGCTTCATATTTTGTCATTTTTACCTTGTAGCAAGGTATTCCACGCCCTCTCCAGGCTCCGCCCCCAGATTGGAGCTCCGCCCCCAGATCGGATCTGTCATAGCTACTGTTGTGAGGTTGGACGAGCTTCGCGGAACGCTGGTGCAAGAACCCCAATCAGCCAAACGAGAAGCTGTCCACTCCTAAAGATGTTTATTTAAGGGCTCTTTAGTAAAGGAACGTTCAATTTAGAACCGTTCCATGCTTAAAGAGTTACGAAATGACTCTTCAGATTGATGGAGTGTGTGTTGTTGCCATGTCGAGCATGTAGAAGAACCCTTTTTCCATTTTTAAAAAGGTTCTGTATAGAACCACCATCTACAACACATCGTCCATCTAGCTAAAGAAGCACTTCACCATGCAAATAAACATTAAAGCATTCAAATGGTTCTGTATAGAACTCATGGTTCTAAGGAGAACCCTTATTAAAGAATCCTTGAAGAACCGTCTTTTTTAAAGAGTGTAGTTAAGTACGTTTTCAAAAGGGTTCTATGTGGAACCGTATACAAACACGACTCAGTATATATCACAGTACCTACATTTAGGGCGAGTTATTGATTTCTAATCATTTCTAATTTGTGTAATTAGGAGTGAAGTTTGTCCAGCTTCACAACAGTAGCTAAGAGCGTGTTTGTGGGCGGAGCCTGGAGAGGAGAATTATCATATTTCTTTGTATTCCCACTGAAGGAAATGAACTGGAAGTTGAGGATCAGTCAGGATCGTTTAAGTCCCGTGACGCATGTAGTGACCCAAAGGGGGGACAGATTAGCTGAATTTGATGGACGTTTCTCTCTGTTTTCATCCTGAATTTCCTCTTTGAAACTTCGCTGCTGTAAAATACGGCTTCATGTGCTTTTAGGAGGCTGCTGAGCGAAAACTGCTATATCACTTCATCGCTCAGCGTAAGTGGGTGGTCTGCACTGGCGGAGAGGCGTTGTATTATTATGAATGTTTTATTTGATCGTACTTCGTTGTTTTCTGATGTTTATCAGTGTTTGGCTGTACTTGTGCTCTTTTTTATTTACCTGTTGATCATGTCGGATCTGTAGATCTTGCACTGATGTATGTGCAAGTGTAGGAAGTCTCGTACTTGTTACTGACAAAAGCTGATTAAAAACATGATCCGTTCCTTTATTATAAAGATGGCTGCGCCTGGTGTTTCTGAATTGTAAGAATAATTAGCTTTATTCTGATTTTTAATGACTGCTGTGCTTTTTTATATATTTCCTAGGGGTGGGGGAAAATCGATTCTTAGATGCATCGCGATGCGGTCGTGGACGATTCTGAATCGAGTCAGAAAGTGTCAAAAATTGATTTTCTAAATTTTAATTTATACCGTAATGTTGACGGAACGCAAAAGGCGGAACTTGGAAGTGGGTGAGTGCAGCGCCCGGACAGTCTGTGGCGCCACATAACAAAAACACCACTGGATGAGTGAGAAATCCGACCGGCTCCTCTGCATTAAAGCCAGGTTAGATCAGGAGTCACAACACAAATGATAAGAAGAGCCATTTTGTCCTGTCAACAAAAATCAGACCAGCTTGGGAGCCTCAACATTTAATGTCCATTTAATTAGTTAATAAGTAATGTTTTACCATCTTGGCTGTAAACATGTCTCGGTGGGTGATGATGTCGTAGTAAAGGCTAAAAATACAAACGAAAACGCAGATTAACTTTGTTCTGCTTTAATCCTCAGCTCAGCTGTGGCCACTTTTCTCTCATCTCCGGCAGGAAACTTTCCCTTAAACGTAGAACGGTTTCCTGTAAAATGTCTCTCAATGTTCGACTGTTTTACGAGGCTGAAGTCGCTTCTTATTCCCCAGCTTCTTGTTCGAATTTTCCCGTTCCACCTTAAATTCTGACTGTAATGTAAATGCGGCACCATTTAAGGTGGAACGGGAAAATTCCAAAGAGAAGCGACTTCATCTTCGCAACTTTTTAGTGTTTGTCAGTCTCTCATTGCAGATTTAACGTACCAGGAAACCAACTGCAGTGCTTATAAATGCGAATAAGTCCATTCGTCTCCAAATGTTCCTTTTAAATCTGTCTCTTTGCCTTTTCTTTAGCTACTAGCTAAGGGAGACTGGTTGAATTGCTACATGACCTGCAGGGTGTTAAATTAGCAGCGTTTAAGACCATTTATAGTTAAACTGTGTTGAACGATCAGCTGAGCTTTATTTTACTGTAAAGGAGGATTATTTTATTATTACCTACAAACCTGATTCTGCTGTGGAGCCACAACAGGGCAGTAAAAGAGCCGCACGTTGCCGAGCCCTGAGCTCAGTTAGTGTATGGAAGCACTTTGGCTTCTGTGGAGTTGAAGGGAGAAGGGACCTGGATCAGAGCCACACTATATGCAAGGTGTGTCACACTAAACTAAAATATTTCAGAAACGATAAACATGAGCAACCATATTACACGTTTCCACCCGTTTTCCGTCCGGTTGAAGTTGCTCCAACCAGAGGACCACCGAGCAAGCGATGTCAAAGCTTCCACCCAACTCGGAAGCGAATTACAAACTCTATCACAACCTTTATTGCCAAGGATTTGCGTCTGTATTCAGTCTTTGAGAACTGAAGATATTTCACTTACACAGCAACCCCCCCTCCCCCACCCCCCACCCCCACACTCTATACAACAAGACCTAAACCGACGTTATAGAATCACTGGTAGGGGTAGAATAGCTGCAGTCTGCTGCGTGGACGTCCATCACCACAGTCTTATTTCACCATAACATTTCATCACAGATGAGCCGCAGCAGCGTCTCCTGTGCTCCAAACAAGAGCAGTGAATGAGAGTCTTCCAGTTCAGCCTCATCACCTCTGTTTGATTTATTAATAAAGGATATTAGAAGTAATTTCATTATGGATCATTACTAATTCTTTGCTTTAAAAGTACAAAATGAAATCCTGAATAGAAAAAAGATGCATCGATAATCGTTTTATAATCAACCTCAGAATCGTAACCGAATCGAATCGTGAGCTGCCGAGAGATTCCCACCCCTAATATTTACCTACAATTTCTCCACCGCTTTTCAAACCCCCCCCATAATTCAGTGTGTGAGATGTAAACAGAGTCATTCAGAGTGGTCTGGTGTGAGGTGGTTCATCATGGTGTCAAACAACGTCTCCGACACCAGGCAGCGTATTCATAACTTTCTGTGAGGGAGCTTTTAGAGGTGGACGTCTGGTTCCTATCACCACCACTCTGAACCACTCTGTTTACATCTTAACCATCTAGTTATGGAGAATTTTGGAAAAATGGGTGGAGTTCCCCTTTAAAACTCAAGCTAAAGCACAGGTGCTAATCCAGTAGACTATCCATGTTGGTTTATTGCCGTTTTTACACATTTGCATGACAATTTATGACCAAAATCACTGCTGGGTTTAAATATAGGTCATTTTTAAAATTCTGTGCATGTTTAAACAAATCGCAGAGCAAAAATGCTAATGCTAACTCACAAAACACACTGTTCATCCTGATAATGCCTCTGGAAATGTGGCTGCACCTGCGTTTGTAGGGAGGTGATGGCCTTGGCGATATAAATATACCTTTATTTATAGCACTTTTCATTTTAAGCATAAAAACTCAGCAAAACAGCAGAAAGCTGAACCATTACAGTTGAAATGACAGAAGTAATGTGAATGAAATTACAGTATAATACTTAAACAGTAGAAGACAAAAAAATCCCAACACACTCGCGGCCAATAGGCTTCAGTTTTAACACTGATTGACATTTTCAGGCTGCAAGCAACGTTGCACAGAGATTACATCATTGCATTTCCCCGGATGACCAGCAGAGGGCGGCAAAACCTTCATATTAGACCTGCAGAGTTCATCCATCCATCTGTCATCTAAACCGCTTATCCTTCTGGGTCGCGGTGGGGTGCTGGAGCCTATCCCAGCTGTCATTGGGCGAAAGGCAGGATACACCCTGGACAGGTCGCCAGTCCATCACAGGGCAGACAGACAGACATACACACACACACTCCTGCAGAGTTCATCAACGGTGAATTCCACAGACTCCTAAATCCATCGTCTGAGTTTTGGACTATATGGAATGTTGATGATGGAAAATCTGAAATAAGTTTTCTTTGGGGACTATTTTGCCTCACAGCGCCCTGCATGTATCCCTCCACTATCATAAAACAGTGTCTCAGTCATCAGGCAGTGAATTCATAACCATTTCATGTAGGAACTTTCTGTGAGGGAGCTTTTAGAGGTGGACGTCTGGTTCCTATCACCACCACTATGAACAGTTCTGACTCGGTAAGTTTATCTAGAACGGAGCGTTTCACTCCAAACCACTCTGAATGACTCTGTTTACATCCTAACCACTTAATTTTTAGGGATTTTAAACAATCTGTGAAATAATGGTTTTATCATTTCAACAATGTGCTGATGTTTGTGATCTTTTATATTTGCAAGAAAAAACGACTCGATACTTTTCCTGAGCAAAATGTACAGTTTCCAGAGCACAAAAAGGCCAAAATGTCGTCTGTTGCCAAAGTTTTCTCAGTTTCCCGAGATAGTTCATCCTCTGAGTGACCAGAGCAGAGCCATGGCTCTGTGAGTGACCAGCTGGACTGCAAACATTCAATAAAGGCCATTACATGAGGACTCTAACTAGCCATAGTTAACTCTGTATAAGATAAATATCATCAGCACTATTTTGTGTGAGGAAGCCGTGTGGTTTCAGGGTCACTTTAAAAGCCAACGTACACAACAATGTCTCACCACAGGTAACGCAAAACATCTCTTATTTGTTGAGGATCAAATAATTTACAGAGGCTCTAAAGTGCAGGTTAAATAAAAATCTTACAAAATGAAATGAGTGAGCGCAAAAACTTGGCAAGGAAACGCAAAATTATTGCAAATGAATGCTAAAATTTTTCAACAGAACATTGTTGTGAGTGAACGCAAAAAATTGCAAGTGAACGCAAAATTATTGCATATCAATGAAAAACTTTGCAAGGGAACAAAATTATTGCAAATGAATGCAAAAACTTTGCAACAGAACACTGATGTGAGTGAACGCAAAAACCTGGCAAGGAAACGCAAAAATATTGCAAGTGAACACAATTACTGCGAGTGAACGCAAAAACTGCAAGGAAATGCAAAAACAATGCGTGTGAATGCAAAATTATTGCGTATCAATGCAAAAGCTTTGCAAGAGAACACAATTATTGTGAGTGAGTGCACAACAGAGAACAATATTGCGAGTGAACACAAACTTTGCGAGAAAATGCAGAGTTATTGACGGTGAGTGCGATGTGATGTGTTTTGAACCACAGCCTCTCAGGGGCGCCGTAATAATTCATCCTTCTAAGTGGGAATAAAACTGAGTCCCCTTTAGGCTCGTACTCGTCATCGTTCGCCCTCGGCCTGCCTTGTTTCTGAGTTTATCTGACTCTTGATCAGACTGTGGGGGTTTGAAGGACTTCAAACTGACTAGCTCAGCCGCTGCTAAAGCGAAGCCCTCAGTCTGATGACGTGTAAACGTGTCTGCTGTTTGTTTCTCGATCGGCTGCCAGAAACTGCACAATCAAATAAATAATCAGATTATTTAAGAGCTCCACACAGTCTGAGGTGAGTAATTAGGGCCTGGTGCTAATTGGTGGGGTATTAGCTTCCATTAGCTTGTTAGCTACATTAGCATCGTAGCTCCAGTGCTAATACTTAAGAACCAAATTCAGACGCTGAACATTGGTCTCACATGATCGAGTAAATCTATGTGTAAATTCAATTTTCACTGAATAAATTCAAATAAATTCAAAGTCAGTTTTTAACCAGCAGAAAAAACTCAGGCTTGAAGATCTCTCTTTACTCTCTGAGGCGTGGGACGCTCCTGCTTGTGGCTGTGTTGGTGGAGATGGAGCCACATCAGCTCCTGTTATCGCTGAGATGTTTCGGGGCTCCTGCAGTTCCTAAAAAAGTCTAATAAAGATTTAAAAAAGTTTTTACTATCAGACGTTTTAAACTCTGAGATGGTTCTAAAAGGCTCTGGTTGAGAAGCATCACTGTGCATATTGAGTTCAGAAGGGCGTGTCAGTCAAAAATATACAGCCGTCAGTGGTTCTGTGGTCAGATCTGGTCAGTGATGATGTGCTATATCAGTGCTTTATCTGCCTCTCTGTGGACTTCGGCTCCTACCTCATCCACCTGATTACTACCTTCAGAAGTCCTTGATACAATCAATCAATCAATCAATCAATCAATCAGCCTTTATTTAAACTTAAAGTACACTGAGGGGAGGAAGGGGCCCATTTGCAATAGAACCAAGTGTTAGAACAGAGAACAAAGGATTGAAACGAGTAATAAACATTAAATAAAACTGGTTAAAAATAGACAAAATAGAAATTAGTAAACATTACCGGATTTAAAGTAGCTAATATAAATATAATTAATAACATAAAATACTTAAAAACATGTAAAAATATAGTAAAAATGCATAAATTATTATTAATAATAATAATAATAAAAATAAAGGTAAAAACATGCTTATGTGTTAGATTTGGGTTGAAGGTAAAACCTGCAAGAAGGTAAATCTCCATAAAGAAGGTCTGAGACCACTGAACATGCTGCACTGTAAACGTTTGATTTTGAATCACGGATGTGGTGGTGGTGTGTTAGTGTGTGTTGTGCTGGTCTGAGTGGATCAGACACAGCAGTGCTGCTGGAGTTTTTAAACACCTCAGTGTCACTGCTGGACTGAGAATAGTCCACCAACCAAAAATATCCAGCCAACAGCACCTGTGGGCAGCGTCCTGTGACCACTGATGAAGGACTAGAGGATGACCAACACAAACTGTGCAGCAGCAGATGAGCTACCGTCTCTGACTTTACATCTACAAGGTGGACTGACAAGGTAGGAGTGTCTAATAGAGTGGACAGTGAGTGGACACAGTGTTTAAAAACTCCAGCAGCACTGCTGTGTCTGATCCACTCATACCAGCACAACACACACTAACACACCACCACCACGTCAGTGTTACTGCAGTGCTGAGAATGATCCACCACCCAAATAGTACCTGCTCTGTGAGGGTCCATGGGGGTCCTGACCACTGAAGAACAGGGTAAAAGGGGGCTAACAAAGTATCAGAGAAACAGATGGACTACAGTCTGTAACTGTAGAACTACAAAGTGCACCTATATAGTAAGTGGAGCTGATACAATGGACAATGAGTGTCATGCTGAAGCTGCGCCGCTAGATGCCGCCACCTCTTCAGTTTAGCTGTGCAGTGCAGCGACACTTTTACCCGTTTACAGTAAGAGGGGTATTTACAGTTTTTACTGCTGCAGCTTCTATTTATATATGCGCGCGAGCTCTCAATCTGCTGCTGTTTGTGTTTTAGTGATTAAAGCCAAATCACAATCAGAGCAATACAACCGGATTAATAAATATCTGAGGTGCTTAATGTGGATGTTTAAGGCTCTGATAGTGACGGATCAGATGATTCCTGGAACCCTGAACCAAAACAAGAGGATCAGAGGCACGCGCGCGCACATACTCAGCTGGAAGCAGGTGCAGCGCGTGCCCATTATTTTCCCCGACACACAAAACAAAGAGTGCGGCGCCGCACATGCTTCTTTGCAGAAATCAGAAGACAAAGTAAAAAAAAATATATATATATATTTTTATAAGGACCTTTTTAAATAAATCATTTTTAAATAAATAAATAATAATTATTAAAATATTTCTCTCAACTCTATTTCCAAGCATCACATTTTTAAATAATTTAATCTGATTTATTCTATATTTTTTATCCGCAAATAAACACATTTTGTATTTTTTTACGTGTTTTATAAATTAATAATTAGCCAGCTCGGTTTGTAAAAACCCACGTGGGCTGTTTACAGGAATCACGAGTATTTGCATACGCCTGAGCCCTCATCCAATCCGAGTCCCATGCCTCACCTCATGCGCTAAGTTCTGCTATGAGTTCAGACCGTGTGAGCTACTAGCCAACCACGGCGCAGCCCTTGAGGAGGAACAGCCAATCGGGACGCGTTTTGGCGCTGAGGCGATGGCTATAAAAGGCTGCTAACAGTCAAAGCAGCTCACAGACGGCTGAGGGAGGAGAGTGGAGTGGAGCCGAGCGGGACACTTTAACGAGGATAAATCGGATTATTGGTTTGGATTTCCAGTCATGACTTTTGAAGAAGTTTGTGGACAAGACAACGGGACCAATACGAGCGACAGGTGAGTTTTCGGACTCGGATTCTTCAGAGTTCTTAAACATTTTTTGGCTAACGTTAGCTTAGCGATGCGAATGTGTAAGTTAGCGTTATTTTCCTATTCTGGAAAATTCCTAACGAAACTAAAAGGTGTTCGTAGTTTTTTGACATTTTCTATCTCAAATGGTTGCACATCAGTCCTTTAGTGGTTATGTTGTTTAAAAAAAAATACTATTAAATATAATATATTTGCATTAAAGAAGCTAAATTTTGCTTTGGGTGACGCTCTATAGTAGGTGCAGGTGCGCGCTCCCGTTATTCTAATGCGCGCACACGTGAATCACTCTCATAGCAGCGTATCTCTCAGACTGGCTTCGTAGTAGCTGGTTAAGATGTTCACATTGCGCGCTCCCGTGTGTCTAATGCGCGCTCCCGTGTCTCTGTCCTCCAGGATGCGCAGTGCAGGTTCAGCACTCGAGGAGCTGCTGCTCTCCGCCAAGAAGAACGACTGTCTCACAGTTGGAGTCTACGAGTCTGCGAAGGTCATGAATGTGTGAGTGTCCTTTATTATTGATCCCGTTTATAGTCTTAGTACTTTTCTGCTGCTGAGTTGTTCCACAGTTTAAGATACCAACATCGTTCCAAATCCAGTATGTTTGGGAATGGTGCCAGTATAGAACTTCTATATAATACAAGTCCATTAGCAACACCCTATTGAACATGTGGGAACCCTAGCAACCACCTGGGATTCCATAGCAGCCCCTATTCAAGACCTTTCCAACCACCCGTGTGCAGTTACTCTGCATTTTCTTCAGGAAATGCACTTTCCTAATATATTAATATGTAATGCAGGCTGCATGGCTCTAATCGTGCTCTTTCTCTCTTTGTCTCTGTAAACAGTGACCCGGACAGCGTGGCGTTCTGCGTGCTGGCGACAGACGAGGAGTACGAGTGCGACATCGCCCTGCAGATACACTTCACCCTCATCCAGGCTTTCTGCTTCGACAACGACATCAACATCGTCCGGGTGAGCGACATCGACAGGCTCGCCGACATCGTGGGCAGCGACGAGACCGGCGAACCAAAGGACGCCCACTGCATCCTTGTAACGGTACGTTTACTGACCCCTGAATCAGGATGCAGAATTAACTGAGCTTCTGTAGGCCTTAGTATTGGGCTGATGGGCTGCATCAGGCATGCTGACCCCACCCAGACTGGTGGCATTTGAGCAGTTTAACTCTGGGAACACAGCTGTATGTGGGTCTCCAGTCGACTCTCTCTAGATGTTGGTCACATAATAGTGATTGAAAAAAAGTTTTAAGGCTAATTTGATTACCGTGTTCCTTAAGTGGTTAAATGAGGTCAAATGCCAAAGTCTGGCCCTCCGTAACTGGTACCTCCCACACTTTCGCTATACTAGTATTCATTTAGTATTTATAGCTGCTCTCTAAGTGTCTTTTCTCTGCAAGATAAGCTAAAACATCCTTATTTTCCTGCAGAACCCTGATCTGGAATCCTGGAAAGACCCGTCTCTGGAAAAGCTGAGTCTGTTCTGCGAGGAGAGGCGCGGCGCGTACGAGTGGGTTCCAGCTATCACTCTTCCAGAACGCTGAAGGCCGCGGGATCTTATGAGGCAGGAAAGTACGTGAAACTTCTAGGTGCGGAGTCCTGAAGTTGTCTGGATTATCCTGGATTATCCCATCCAGAGAGACGGACTGAACCAGCATGTGGGCGTCAGTCTGCGCCGTAGGAAACACGCGGTCAGTGGACTAGTGTGGCCTAAAAAAGCTGTTTGCCCGATGCCGCTTGGCGGAGACGATGCCGAGGAAGGTGGGGTTGAGGACGGAGTGCAGGAGCTGTGGAGGAATTACCGGAAGCGTGTTCTCTGGAGGAATGTGGGATGATGGGGAAGCAGAAGAAAGCGAGATGAAGGGAAAAGATTTATTTTTTATGAAGGACTTGCGCTTTAGTGCTTATGGTTTGGAGACGTTGATTGATTAACTTGCATGGACTGGATAGTTACTTTGACTGGGAGGTCGTTCGATCAGCCCACCGTGGACTGCAGCACTTCCGTGTTCATGAACTTGGCCGGTCTGGTCATGAACAGGCTTGATTTGATTGGTCGCTTTGTTTGGGTGATGTTCCTCACCTGTTTCATTCTTGTTTTTCTTTATTTTGTGAGTGACATTTGTGATGCAATGTCAGCAGATGGCGGAGCTGCGAAAGCAACTCTGTTTTGGAAACTTCAATAAATGTGTTCAGATTGAAAATTGTGTTGTGTTTTTAAAGTTATTGGCACCGTTCTGATACACCAAACTCTGAAAGAACATGGTTATAGCTCAGAAGTTAAGTAATAACACCTTAGTAACTGCACAACATGGACAAAATACTAATATTATGGTTATATTGCTGCAAACTGCAGTGCGTCACTCATTGACCAGTGTAATACTGGTCTGATGCACCTCACAGTGAGAGGTGGGCGATACTGATAACACTTTAATACATTTTCATGGTACACAATATGTCAGTATTCATTCTAGACACTCGATCAGCTGGAACAGCAAAAAAGAGCTACATTAAAAAAAAATAGTTTAAAAACTTTGAACAAAGTGATTTTTATTCAATATTTATCATTAATTCCAGTTAAACGAGGATAATTTATAATGAAATGTGCAGTTGGTCAGTGTTTTACAGGCACTGACGATATACACTATGTTCATGAAAGCAAGTTTACATATCATTTTTAATTTTTTGACAATTTGAAGATACCAATATATTAATGTTGTGATGAACAGACCAATAGAAACACTTAAACTATTTGGCAAAAACTCTGGTTCCATTAACTCCCATTCAAAGTGTGTGTGTGTGTGTGTGTGTGTGTGTGTATAGTCATATTGCCCAGCCCTACTTACAATATGTTCCAAACCTTTGTTATATGAATACCAACACCAACAAAAGCTGTGATTGGTCTGGATGCTCACAGCACACAGTAAAGTTAAAGGCTCATTTGCATATCATCTGTGATGAGCCTTTGTAGCTTTTGTAATATCAGTAAAGGCTGATATTGTGATGGCAAATAAGCATTTAATAGCAGAAATGCATCTATTTCTGCCCTGTAATAGAATCTTTAATAACGCAGTGTGTCTTAGTGCTCAAACACAGTCAGTTTAATATGTAAGAAGGTTCTCTAACTCATTAAATTTCATCTTTCCTGTTATTAACAAGTGAATAGGAATGCACTTCACACAGCGGACCTTTTATTGGTCCTCTGCCGAAATATGCATTTCCACACACACACATCTAAACCGCTTATCCTTCTGGGTCACGGTGGGGTTGCCGGAGCCCATCCCAGTGATCATTGGTCCTCTGCCGAAATAAGCATTTCCATATCCACGTAAATCGCATTGTAAATTCTTCAGATGTGTCATAGAGGTGGGCGATATGGCCAGAATGTGATATCATGATACTTAAAGAAGTTTTCACGATACGTGATCAATATGCATCGGAAAATTAAGTTTTTCCAGATTTAATAGACAAAGTCGAACCTGTAGTGCCACATATAAAACACTGGAATAAGGATAATTATAATAAAGCCACAACTGCAGTGATTTTGGGTCATATTGGGTCGTTTTAGGGTCATTGTTAATAAAAAATAAAATTAATAGACTTTGAGAATAAAATCATAATATTTCGAGAAAAAAGTTGTACGTTTTCAAGAAATAAGTTGTAATATTTAGAGAATAAAGTCACAATATTTCGAGAATAAAGTTGTAATATCTTAATATTTCAAGAAAAAAGTCTTAGTTCAACGACCTTTGCAAAGCCTTTGGCTACAATACTGCAATCTTTCCTCGTATTAATGCCACTTTAATGTCGGAATTCTACAACATTTTTTCTTGAAATATTACGATTTTATTCTAAAAAATCCGACTTTTTCTCAAAATATTGCGACTTTATTCTTGAAGTCTACCATTTTTATTTTTATTAACAGTGGCTCTAAAACGCCGTCGTAGTAATCAGACGTGCAGTTGGGAAGTGTTTTTAAGTACTGACGATACCCATGATGTGATCAGAACAGCATATTGTGACATATTGTCACAATGACGATAAATATTATATATATTAACTATTATATATTATATATTAAATATTATACATTATATGTTAGATATTGCCCAGCCCTACTATCACAGTGCATCCAGCAGTACAGGCAGCACAGAGCTTCTCTCACACAGTGATAGGAAACACGCTACAATGTTAAAAAGATGGTTCTTCAAGGGTTCCTCAGTAAAGAAAATGGTTCCACATGGAACCATGAACGCTTTGCATGATTAAAGTGTTCTTCACATGGTGAAATGGTTCTTCACACTGATAGAGAACCTGTTCTAGATGGTTCTGTGTAGAATCTTTTTGAAAAGGATTCTGTATTGCACCAAAAAGGGTTCTTCTAGTGTTACAGGCTTGACATCGTAACAATACTAGAACCCTTTTTTGGTGCTATATAGAACCATATACAACACATTCTCCATCAGTCTGAAGAACCATGTCACTATGCAGAGAAGCGGCAAGGCATGCAAAGGGTTATTTGAGTGCTCATGGTTCTATATCGAACTAAAGAACCCTTGAAGAACCATCTTTTTTAAGCTCACAGGAAGCTGCGATTCCACTGGCTGATCCGTCTGACTGAGCAGCCTGGAGACCCGCAGCGCGATACGGTTAACAGACAGTGAATCCAGACGGAGACGATGTGCAACTGCAGCAGGAAGACAGACACACAGGGCAGTTGCAACACGAGAGCTGTAGACGTTCAGAGCGAAACTCCGACGAGAAGCTCGCCCTTTCACCACCACCCGCCAGCTGCTCTGCTGCAACAGCTGGCTCAACCGAAGGGGCCCCACATGAGCCCACCGCACGCCTACCGTTAGCAGAGGCAGAGCAGAGCTGCAGGCTTCAACCGCCACGACACACCGAGCTCCCTCCACACTGCCGACTGCACCAGTAGGCCTTAATGAAACACTCAGGGAAGAGAGACTCAGATCAGGCTGAATTTAAGGATCGTGTGTGGTTGTAATTTGTTTTTGCATCACTAATAAGTCCTAAAATTAATCATTTAATATCAATTAAGAGTTAAAGGCGTCCATACAACAGGTATTCGCAATTAAGAGGCAGGTATTTATTGTAATAACTGCAAATACCTCAGGTGATGAGTGCAATAAGTATTAACTAATACAGATCAACTAACATTTATTATAACCGGGTTTTGCTGCATCAGTTGCACATGTCAAACGGGGCGATGCTAATAGAGGTTAATACAAAAGTATAAACAGTTAATACAGCAGATATTTTCTGTAATTGGGGCGATGCTAATAGAGGTTAATATAAAATGCCTTAGCAATTAATTTCATTAATTTGTTGTATTATTGCTAATACCTATGAAACCTATACTAATAAAGTGATTAGTGCAACAGCTATTAGCAATCAACAGCAGGTATTTGTTGCACTATTGCTAACACCTAATCTTGTAATCATAATAGGCGTTAATACAGAAGTATTAGCATTTAATATAACATGTTTGCTAATGTCTAATAGCGGCAAGGCTAATAGAGGTTAATACATCAGATACTAGCTATTAATGCAGCAGATATTTGTTGTATTAACTGCTAACAGCATAACAAAAACATAAACTTTGCTCACGTCCAATAGCATCACTGCTAATAGATGTTAACTGCTAATAGTTAATAAGGGCAATGCTAATGGGGTTAGTACAAGATGTATTAGCATTTAATATAACCTTTGCTACTATCTAATAGCAACATTGCTAATAGAGATTATTATAGCAGTTATTAGCGTTTGATACTGCAGATATGTTTATTACCTGCTAATAACTAACAGGGGTAATGCTAATAGAGGTTAATACAAAATGTATTAGCGTTCAAAATGATCTTTGCTAATGTCTAATAGCATCAGTGCTAATATAGGTTGATACAACGGGTATTAGCAATTAATGCAGCAGGTATTTGTTGTATTGACTGCTAATAGTTAATAAGATGAAGGCTAATAGAGGTTGATACAGAATCTGCTATCATTTAACATAACCTTTGCTAATGTCCAATAGCATCATTGCTGATATAAGCGAATATTATTTTATATTTTATTTATAATATTAATATAATAACTGTTAATGCTAATGGGGTAATGCTAAAAGTGTAACAAAATGTATTAGCATTTAATAGAACTGCTAATGTCTACTAGCATTATCGCTAATAGAGGTTAATGAAAAACGTATTAGCATTATAAATAAGCTTTGCTAAAGTCTAGTAGCGCCAATGCTAATACGACTGCAGTAACAGCCATAAGTGTTTTTCCTGCGGTCATGAAGGCAGGAAAGTCCTGCAGTGAAGTGAAAGTGTGACTCAGCCGAAGATCCATTTGATCTTTCGGTTCGGGCCGTTGCGCTTTTAGTCCAGAGGAAAACGGCTTTGAAGTGTCTGAGCTGGAAAGGCTGACTGAATCAGTGGCTCAGGTGTTTTACACACGCTGACGACAGCCTAAAGCAGAGTTCGCCCAAACATGAAAGCAGATCTGAGGAGCAGATGAAAAGGCTATGTAAAGAAAACTTAAAGCGCAGAGCTGCTCACACAGGTGCTCATCACACACACGCTACATGCCTCCCAGAAGAAGAAGCGGCCCTGACAGCCACCGCGCTGCCTTTTGTTGTCTTTTCATGTATTTTACAAAGGAAATTACAGAGTAAAGCGGGTCAACGCTACCGGAGTTCCCCCTCTGAGCCTTCTAGTAACACACCCCCGCACGCCTGCCGGCTGCTTCGAAGAAAACGCCCAGCAGGAATAACCAGGCTGGAGTGACTACTTTCATAATGACCATATTAAGCTTTCTTGATGATGGTATGACGACTAAACCCAACCAGAAGCGCCGGCTGACTAACAGCCCTGCTGCACCGCTGTGTCATCACTTTCAGAACTTACCCAATTCTTAGTCCAGGTGTAGCCATGAGCTAAGAAATGGAGCTTAGCATGGTGCTAACTGCAGGCCTAAACCTCAGACTGTGTGGAGGTGTTCAGTATCTCTAATAGACTTGATTACGTGGTTTTTGATCTGTGTAATTCACTGTTATCTATAAATAGATAAAAAGAGCAGCAGGCATTCCTGACGTTTACAGCTTGGTTTTTCCTGCTGGTGTGTAAAACAAAGGTCTGTGATTGGTCGTTTTGCACATCCTTTTTTTTTTTTCAGAGTACGAGGTTCTTGT